AATATGTTTTTTTATCCAATTAGAAATGTTATGAGGCTTGAATGTCATGCATGTTTTTAGGCATATTCTGATTATTTCTTTATGAATTTTGGAACAACCCACAGCTGAACCTCTCCCAATCCCCATTCCTACCCTACTGCCCACAAATGACCTTGTGATTTTTGTCTCGCAGCCCAAATTCATGAATATCTATTGGAGAAATCTAGAGTTGTTTATCAAAGTAATGGAGAAAGCAATTTTCATATTTTCTATCTGATGTTTGCTGGACTATCACCTGACGAGTACAAGAAATTTGGCATTGAATCACCACGGAAACATCGGTGAGACACAACAATTTTGAATTTTACTCAGATCATATTATCTATTTTAGGGTCTATGTTCAAAAAGTTGAATTGCTTACATTGTTCGACATGACTACTGTTCTGTGTTCTCTTCTATTTTTGTATACTCGTCCACCCTGAGCTTATATGCTTGAATGAATTAATGAATAATTTTTTTGTACTACAAAATTATATCAAAAATCAACTATGAAACCATCTGTCTGTGACCAACCATATGACATTGAATTAAATGTTGGACAAAGATAGTCTTGACAATAACTGGTAAAACAATGTTAACATTTTAAAAGCATTCCAAATTCTTGATATTTTGCTAAGGTTTAATCGAATAACTGTCCGAAAGAAAAGAAAAAAATAATCCTGGGTACACGAACATGTTTCCTTCAATTAAACCATTGACTTTGTGATTTCCTGTGTAGCTTTAAACTCTACTTTGGCATTGAACTCAATTTTGGCAGCCATTTTGGATTAAGTTAATTAACAAAATGTGTGCAGTTGAGGTTCATAATTCATAAAAAATATTTTGAGTACTTCAAGTTTTTTTCCCATAATTTGTGCGAGACAATGTAACAAAGTTTCATTAATATCCAATTTTATACAAAAAGTGTAATATAGCCATGACCATTCTTAATTAAATTAATAGTATCCACTAATTGCTTATGATATAATTGATTGCTAATCATGTCATAATTAGTAGTAAGATTTTTTAGATAAAATAATTAACTGTGAATTGTAATTATCTTGCTCTTGTAGGTATCTATCTGGAAGTAGTGAGAAGTTTAAATCTTTGATGACGCAGGAAAACCGAGAAAGATTTGGAGAGATTAGAGATTGCCTTGAAGCTATAGGGTTCTCTAAAGATGTAGGTATTGTTTTCATCTCATTTCATCTCATTATTTATTCACTTTCTGACCTTAATGTATTACTTCAATTGTCATTCTCATATGCTTTATTAATCCATTCAATTTAAATTTTGTAAGGCAGAGAGGGCATTATCAGAAGAATCAGAAAAAAAATATTTTTGGGGTTTCCATCTATCCATGCATCTGTCAGGCCCTCTGCACTTGAATTGATTTTGGTATAGAAACATTATACTGTAAAAAGATTAATTATTCACTGGGTTTTATTTTGCTTATTTAAAACCCAATGAATATGCCTGAAATGCCAAATCAGCGAAATTTAAACCCAGTGAAAATTAATCATTTTACAGTATTATATAAAATTATTATTATTAAATATTAGTAGTCATGGTGATAAACATTAATACTTTTCTCTACATTCCAACCTAGGATGAAGACAACCTGATGACCACGCTATCGGCGATTCTGCATCTTGGCGATCTGAAATTCAAACCTTGCGGCACCACGGATGCTGCAGTGTTAGTCAATTTAGATATCTTAGATAAAGTGGCCGATATGTTACAAGTGCCTTCAGAGGAATTAGGGTCAGCGTTGGTTGCCGAATTTAATGTCACAAGAGGTAAGATACAATTAACTAACAAACATCATCATCATCATTAACTGATATCTCCACCTACGGCAGAGCGCACACTTATATGAGATTGTTGATTTCATAGATCCTAATCTTTTGAGCTCAAGGAGAGTATATGGAGTGATTAGGTCGTAAAGCAGATATGGTCCTGACTTTGTCAGTGTCAGTGTCAACAGAAGATGTTAATTCAGGAATGATTTTTTGACGGGGAAAACTTTGCCAAGTACTTCAAATTAAATTAAATCAAATCAGCCAGTGTTTTTTCAGTGAACACCACAGGACATTAGAGAGTTTTTTCGGGCTACTTCCTCACAACACCTCTCTGTATCATGGTATTTCCTACACTTAATATATTGATAAAAATCAACTGAAATGGATATTAATATTCTCTGTAAAATGCAAATATTTTTTATTTACAGGTGAAACAATTCGTCGGGACCGAAATGTTATCCAAGCCAATGACTGTCGAGATGCATTAGCGAAAGCCTTATATGGTCGTTTATTTGGTTGGATTGTAAATAACATTAATCAGATGTTACAACCGTTAGAAGAGAGTGGTCCCTCATTACCTATCGGTGTTCTCGATATATTTGGATTTGAGAATTTTTCCAAGAATAGTTTTGAACAGGTACATGTACATGTAATCTAAAAATTAGCTTTAATGCACCAAATTTGTGTATAAAAACACCCTTAGTTATCGAGAAACTTGTGACAACCGCAGTGCTTTAAGATCAAACCCGAAATTGGCACAATGTCAATTGTTTACGAATACATAGCTGTAAATTGGGCAATGATTGCAGGGAATGGGAATGGGCATTATTAGATGGCTTCTTACCGTATATCTAAGAATAAATATTTGTTGGATTTGAATGAATTATAAGAATATTCCAGGGTAAATGTCTTTTAAATATTTCATAAAATTCTACAAACGATTTTATTTTTAACAGATCTGTATAAATCTTGCCAATGAACAACTACAGTATTATTTTAACCAGCATATATTTCAGTGGGAACAAGAAGAATGTGCCAAGGAAGGCATCCAATTAGAAAGAATCAATTATACAAGCAATAAACACATTGTGGAACTGTTTCTTCAGGTGAGCAGATCACAAGCATGCTTTTATATTTGCCAATAGTATCACAGAACGTACATAAGAAATAGATCTCTAATGTGTTCAATCTTTTCAACCATTCACCAGAAATTCAGTTCAAATTATATGATCATTGGTGTCGTATTTGTCAATTTTCAAGTTTTTTTCCACAACAGCAAACCAAATGATTCTAAATATACCATTTGCTATGCATCTTGATTAAAAAAATTTTAAAAATCTTGAAAAAATGGAAAGACGACAATTTTTTAAAGATTGTTATTCTGATTTTGGACACTTATTTGTTTTCGTTTTTTGTCTGCATAGCGACACAGTGGTATCTTAGCAATATTGGATGAGGAAAGCCACTTTCCCAAGGCAACAGATGAGTCCCTGGCAACCAAACTGCATACTGGTCCCGGAAAATCATCCAAAAAGGTTTACATGGCACCTAAGGATGGTGGTGTCACTTTCAGTATTATGCATTATGCCGGAAAGGTAAAGATATAAAGCGTCATAGTCATCATGCCACATTATGCTTGATAAGAAACAAGTATGACGATTATGCATAATTATGTAAATAACATAGTTTGTTTGCATGAAACTTGAATGCATGGTGCATGAGGTACGACTGTGTTGCTATAACTTTAGGAAGTTTGTTTCATGTTTTAATTAATAATTCAGACATCACATTTATTATTAGTATACACAAAATGTACGTTGACAAAATTATACCATATACGGTATACAATTTATAGGAATTAGCAATAGACAATACAATGCCTTTCTGGAGAGAAAAATATGATTGAAATTAAACAAGATTTATTTTGAAAAAAATTTGAAAAACAATTCTGAATAGGTTCTATATTATCAGAAGATTTTAACGATATGACCTACAATTTTGCAATATTTCAAAAATAATATATTTGTGACAGTGTTAATGCATGTAGTATCTTTAGGAAACTATCTATGAGAAATTGGTGAAAGCAAGAGCACAACAGGACTAATTTTTTTTTTTTATTTATTTTTTTTTTTAAATTTTTTGTGCCAGGAGACAGTTCCGGACATTGAGTGTCACTGTTGTCTCTCCTGACTTTTATTTTTTCTGTATGTGCAAATTGCAAGTGCTAGTGACGACACATAGTGCATTTTGCCACAGACAGGACTAATTGCCTCACAAAAAATAATGTTCCATTCGTTCTCGCCACTGATCTATAAAACAAGGTCTCAGCGGCCATTTTCATACCAAACATTCAAGCACATGCACGTTACTGTTTTTTTTTTATTGTTTCATCGACAAATACTAAGTTCTGCAAAAAAAAAAGTGTAAGTTCATGATGAATCATCAAATGCATTTATAAAGCTTTTTAATTCAAGTTGTATTTTTCAAAGTAATTGTAGTTAATAATGACCATTTATATGTAGGTTTCCTATGACTTGAAGGGCGTTCTTGACAAAAACCGAGATACTCTACCAAACTCTATACAGTTCACCATGAAAAGTGAGTACCGTGTTATTTAATGATATGCAAATTATTCTCAATTTCAGAAATCTGTTTGGATGTTATCGTTGTCTTTAAATTTCCATGATTTGATGATTTAATTATTAAGGGGATCAAGGAAAATTTCATAAAAGTACATGTAGACGTGATTTACAGCAGGTGTAGGTGTCAAAATAAACTTTCTCGTTTTACCCACATAGCTCATGTGTTTTGGGAATGAAAATTTGAATTATGGTTGTAAATATGACGTAAGATATTGTCATCCATGTTCAAATTACAACTGTTGACTCTCTATACCAGTACACCTGTTCAGAATCATGTTGTTGTCAAGAAATATATAAAATATTATTAAAATGATGAATATTTGCTTACAATGTATGTTCACCACTTGAATAACACCACTAAGAATTTTCCAAGGATTATTGCAATGTTCCAAAAAAAGTTGAAAGGGAGATAACACGTTAAATCAATTTATTTTAGTGCCAGCATTTCAGCATTTATGACCTTTCAGTAGATTTGTTTTCATATTTTCCGAAATTGTAGTCTGTAGAAATTATGCCTGTCTGGTCCAAAACAAAGAAATAATGGAAAAATATGAAAAAAATTGCAAAATGGTTTTTGAACGGAAAAAATATGTATTCAAAGGGCTTAGAACCTCAGTGAAATTGTCACAGTTACGAACATTTTTTTTCTCTGGCTTTCAGTATAGATGAAAATATGTCTTTCACATAGATGAAGTTGTTACTAACATATATAATTACGCCTTTTGATACCTTTAGCTAGTAGCAGCCTTCTAATTCGTGAAATGTTCCAATCGCGTCTTACGAGAACCGGCTCTTTAGCACCAAGTGCCAGGCAGCGTCAGTCGAGGAGATCATCAAGTGAGAAAGAGAGCAACGTCTCACCATTTGACTTCTTCAGAAAGAAGCGAACTACGCAGAATGATACGCAACGAGTGAAAGAAAATGTAAGTTCTTTATCAAATCTGCACTACAGTATTACGGTACACAAATATAAAAAATTCAAAAATTTGTATTTTTATTTTCTAGAGATATTTACAAGTTCAATTTCTTTCATATAATATCATGAGATTTTGCTTTGTTTTGGTAACTTTTTTAATTTTTTTTTTTTTTTTTCGTCAGCAGCTACATGCAAACAGAAGCGACCGACCAGTTATAGGAACCGACAGGAAAGGTCCCTCTACTGTTGCATTTCATTTCAAGGTAAATTATCAACATTTCTGTAATTTGTATAGATTCCAACATATGGGATTACTTCTTGTCTTGAGTATTTGTTACTTATAAAGTATACCTTTCAAAAATGGCCTGTATATGTACCTTTCCCAAAATGGTCTGTAGAGGACCGTAAATGTACCTTTCTAAAAATAGCCTGTAGAGGGCGCAGCAGAGACTCTCCAGGGCTCATACACTAATTGAATTTCCATAGATGACAATGTTAACATATGACGAGATTGCTATATGAAAATGATGAAGAAAGTTGAAAACATGGCTCAAAAATGGGAAATCAACATGCAAGTAAACAACCATATGAAAAAAACTAACATGTTGGCCAGCTCAAACTCTTAAAAATCTCAGGTAAACAAGACACACCTACTGTATTTGGATTGCACCTAGAGAAATCACTGAAAAAACACCAAGATTAGAACATCCAAATACACACAGAATAAACCCACAGGTAAACAGTCGCTAAGTAGTAAACAAAAGACCACATGTTGGTCTCATCTTTGACCCAGGTGATTACGCCCTCAAACAGGGAGCACCTGAGAAAAAACAAATTTAAACAATTTCATTGGTTCTTGCTTGGCATTTAAATTGAGGGCTAAGAGCAGCCATTGGTTGTTTAGTGGTATGAGACCCCCATGTACTCTCCATGTACAGTTGTTTCAGATAATCTCCATCCAATTTTATCTTTCTATTATATGTCGTTGATAGAACTCGCTAGCTGATCTGATGCATAAGATGACCAACTCCAGTCCCCATTTCATTCGATGCATAAAACCAGGCATTGGCAAATTGCCAAACTCATTCACGCCGGATTATGTTATAGCACAGTTACGATACACTGGTGTCTTGGAGACAACGAAGATACGAAGACAGGGATACCCTCTAAGAATCACATTTGAAGAATTTCTAAAAAGGTATATGATAAACCTTTATTATTATAATTATAGCGCCCTCTAGCTATTGAGTGCGTCAGTAATATCTAAAATGACGTGAATGTGTGTGACATTTTGTCTTTTTTATTTCCTACCATATTTATTATCAGTTTATAAGCCGTGCCAGTGAGATTATTTTTTTTACAGGGTTGCAAATAAGCATGCGAATGGTTGACAAAAAATTAGCACAAACATGTACTCTACTGTTACAATGTTGAGTTGTAGCCAGGACATGTAAATAATGGCATTTGCACATAATTAATGAAAAGAAAAAAAGAAACTGCTACATTTAAGGTAGCGAGACTATTATTTGTGTTGAAAATTACGATTTTCACATTTATTTATTAATTGATGAAATGCACTAAAAACTTTCATGTGATAAAGTCAACATAACATAGAATGTCATGTAAGTTGGTTAAAATGTAGATTTTCTGAAGGGAAGCAAGGCAGCCTCAATAGTGTTTTCCAAAATCAACAACACAGATTAATCTGTGTGCCTATAAGTTTCAAAGATAAACTCAAGACAA